GTCTCCTCTGTCATTTTTTCAAAAAACAGCTGTCCAACCCTATCACCCTTTTGCATCCACTCATAAATCCCACCTTCAGTGCTCCTAGACATATATACAATCTTTTAAACTACCCAACACAACCCTCTAATTGCGCAATTATACCAACATTTGTATGTTTTAGATGCTCACAATAATCCCACAAAATTTTGTAGTGGTCAACCATAGTGCCACGTAATATCTCTATTGCCAAATCGTTGGTTCAGTATTATTACTACGTCGTCACGTCTCCTAGATTTGTCCCTTTCACTTTATCAAAATCCACTCATAGACATATTAGGCTCAACCTTCCATGAAGACAAGTACCTATTGGCTAAGTACTTTGGCGTTAGCAGCATGTTCCGATAGACCAATGCATAACGATGGTTGCTATTGTAATCTTTACCACAAAACTGTTTTCATCTTTTACCTTGCTTTCATATAACAACCATCCACAAGATTTCTCATTTCATATTGTTCGCAATCTATACCCTTCATTCTTGACATACTTGATCTCCCAGTTTGATGTTACAAAATGCTTTGTTAAGGCCCATTTTAAAAAATGCTTCTCTCAAAAATCGTATTTGTAGTGCACAAACTAAAAAGGTGAGGGACGTAAAATGCAAAACATATTTCTTTAAGGGGGGTTTATAGCATAACCATTTTACGTGGGAGGATATTACAAACGTATTAAATATGTAAAGATGATTGTTAAAACTTATTAATATTTTTCGAGAGGGTTTGATAACCTTTTTCAAAAATTTGGTTGCTACATGTCGGTCAAGGGATTAAATTCATCTGTTCATCCCGTCTTTCTATATGTTGCTCCTTCATCTTTTTCGCTATCCAAACTTTGTAGCTCATCTAACTCTCCATAGTCAATGTCAATGTCTCTAACTTCTTGCATATTATACAATCCAAAACCAAAATTAGCTTGCTCCTCATCCTCATAATCATTTTCCACAAAGCCTTCAGTTTCATCTTCCATTATATCGTCTGGTTTTTCCTCACGTCTCTGGATTCTCTTCATGTTGATCCGATTGTGAAATACCAACTCCGACTTTGTACTTAAGTGTTTCCTCAAATTGCGATCATGCCTCCTTCAAGCACATAGTCACCAATATTCACCTTACCCAAACCACTTTCATCCACATCAAACACTGGGATGCAGTAACCTTTTGTGGTACGTTCACCCCTTCATTACAGGCACTACTCTTTGGGACCTCAAGCACTGTTGTTGGTCTAATTCTCAAGGTAATGTTGTTGTTTGGCTAAGCACAACTACATAAATTTCAAGTAAACTATGTCTTTTAAGGTTCTTCATCTCCCTCACATTAGATTCACTATACAACCTCCTCAAACCATACCCAATTTACCTTTTTGCATCCTGAAGTAAAATTCTAAAGGCCCACAGTCACCACAAACATATTCAAGAGCCTCGAACCATTCCCTATTGAAGTAATCAACCCTCACAAGTCTACAAAAATCACAGTACCATGTTCGTACTTGACATTATTTGCCTTATTGAAGAAGACGCCACCGATGTATATAGCTATTGTGAAGTAGTCTATGTATTCGACATGATGATAATGTCAACAAAGGTTAGTATAGGAATCAGTTCACAACTCACAGCAAACTACATGCACATCTATCAACAAAACACGTAAAAAATCTAAACCAAGATACTTTATGTCTTAAACCTTAAAAATAGAGCAACTTACCATACACAGGAACTTCTTCAAACCTCTGAGTCTTGGATCCTCCATTTTCGATAATCACTGTCAAACTATAAATGTACTGAAAAACAACTAATTTCAATATCCCAATCTACAATTTCACATATTTCACGCACGCATTTTTAAAAAAAATAAAAACCTACTTTCTACAACTTACTGTCGTACCTTAGCTAAAGAATGACAATTGTTGGAACTTCAGAATTGCTCAAGGAAACCTTCACTATTGTGGGTGAAGAAGGAACTAATTGTACAAATTGACGTAGTTGGAACTTCATAAATGCTCAATGTGAATTGACATAGTTGCCCGTCCTTATTTATCAAATTTTCCCTTTTTCCTGGGATTTAACGGCAAACCAGATGGATGATAGCCTGCATGGGGTGTTTTCGCACAAATTGTTTGAAACATGAGGGGCTTTCTGCGATTTTCAATAGGTAAGTGGTATATCACATATGAAAAAGTTTATAAGGATATTCTGTTCACTTTTTAAAATGTATGGTTAAAAAAGTAGAGAAAACGTGAAAAATATTTTTTTTAAGAATGTATAATTAAAAATGAATATGAAAAAATAAATTTCAAATAACACTTTCAAACACAGGTTAATATTATAAAGAAAGAGAGTAATGCTATTAGCTTCACTATTGTTTAGAATTAGTTTAAGTGGCAACTTGAAAACATTAATGATAAATTCATTTTAATGCAAAGCCAAATAATCTATTTAATTAGACCTATCAAGTTTGACCACTTAGAACACCACTTTTTGTGACATGTAGATATCATTGGATGATAAAGTTTAATTAAGTACTGATTGACAATCATTATTTGCAAACTCTTTTATCTATATACCCATTTTCAACCACACATTCACACAATAAAATATTTTACACGTAAACTCAAAATATTTCTCTATTATCTTAAAAATCATTATTCAAAACTTAATTTTACCTCAATAATGTTGTCAAATATGGGCTGAATGCAAGTTATGAAATTAAGCCCCTTTTTGAGTCCCATTTTTTTCAAAAAAATATATTTTTAAACAATGTTTTAACATTATTTCAACCACAAAATATTAAATAAAATAATATTACACGTAAATTTAAAACTTTTTCTTATTTTTTAACAACACATTTCCTATCAATATACTAAAAATTTATTTTCCCCAAAAATGGGGGTCAAACAAGGGCTAATTAATCAAATATATCATGAGCTACTAAATATGAATAGTATTTTAACACCAATGATATTAAATATGATTACTCTATGATAAAATAAATAGACACCGCTTTCAAACATTGATGAATTAAACTGTAACGATCATCATTATTTGTTGGGGTTAAATCCGCCAATAGCCACTATACTTTTTATTTAATATTCCCGTGGCAATCCAATTTAATTTTAATTCACCGTGGCTATTGTATTTTATACTTAGTTTCACCATGGCCACCTAAATTGCTTTAGATTCACTATGGCCATCCAACTTAGAATAGCATTTCAGTCGAACCACTAGATTATTACCAAAACAAAAAAAATAAAAATACACATACTTTAAAAATTCACGCATAATTATTACCACAACAAAAAATGGACGTGAATTAAAAAAAAAAAAAAAAAAAAACACACACACACACACACAAACCTACTAACCCAAATGAGAAAAAACTATATAATATAAATCAAACCCAAATTCAGGCAAAATAATAATAATAATGTATGAAAAAAAAATCCACTAATCCAAATTAAAATATTATATAATATAAATCAAACCCCAATCAAGAAATAATTTGTTTATGCTTTCATATAATTTTTTTTTTATTTTCTTAAAATTTTATAATGATTAGCATGTTGTGTGTTTTTTTAATTCTTGTTTCTGATATTTTTTTTTAGTAATAATTGTGTGTGATATTATTATTATTATTATTATTATTATTATTATTATTATTATTATTATTATTATTATTATTATTATTATTTTGTGACAATAATCGGTGGCTTGGGTGGCCATGATGGTATTAAATATAAAATACAATAGGCATTGTAAATCAAAACTAATTTGGTTGATTATGGTGATGCTAAGTATAAAGTATGGTAGTCATGGGTGAATTTAACCCTTATTTGTTAAGATATCGAAAATTTACTCACAAAATTACAGTTGAAATAAAGTATCTTTCCCATGTTAATACCGATTTATCCATCAACAAAATTTTGGTGTTTAATAGACCTCATTTGTTCTTTTTGGTTTTATATTATTATCGTTATATTGTCCCGTCGAGACCTCGGGTGACTGCTATTTTTGTTAGTGCACCGATAAGCATACAAATTTAGATATCACTTGCCTCGAACAATGATGTATCTCATCATTGCTAAGGAATTTTTAATTAGATATATTTAGTTCTTTAGTTTTTATCATTTTTCATTAATAAGTTACCATGTATAATTCTTGCATCATCGTTGTATTTTTCACGTTTATATAAATTTCCATTAAACTATAAGATTTGATTTTTTCTTTCACATTACTGCATTTTTTTTTCGTTTTCGTTAAATTTTTTCTTTCATATAATTGTGATATTAAAATCAATTAATTGAGTGTTCATTTTGCATGACTTTTTTAAAAAGTTAAAAATGGTTTTGAAGATCCAAAAGTTATTTTTGATTAATTTTATGAATGTGTTTTATGCTAGTTAAAAGAACTTTTAGAAGAAATTAATTCATTGTAATTTCCTTTAAATGCACTTTGAAATTAGAAAAACTCTTTTAGAATTTAGTTTTCCAAACAAGAATAAGATGTTTCTTCCTCAAATTTTTCTGCGGAAAGTAAAAACAAAAGTCACGTCAAACCATCCTAAAAAGGGCAATAGTTTGGCTCATTAATTGTAATTAGAGGAAACTTTTGTACTTTGTTTGCTATACATTAATGTAAAAATGAGAATAAAAAATATAGTAATTACGAGCCCCACACAAGTGAGAAAAAGTCAAATATAGTGACTTGATATGATGGATAACGATCATATTTTTCATTTTAATGAGCAAATAATGAGATACAAATGGGGCTTAGCTAACAAAATTTGATGAAAATCTATTTTTACTCATATATATATGTATATTTATATTATTAAATCTATCCATTAACTTGCAATTGGAGGGAAGCATGATGATGTTAATTTATTCACAGTGGAAGTAGCTTGACGAAGAAGCGATAGTCTACCCCAACCCTTCTCTCCACTTCAATATCTCTATTGCGCAGGTTAAACCCCCTCGCCCCCCGGTCTCCCGAATTCATTTCTCTCTCTACACCCACCGGCTCGCACGTTAGCACGCCAACCAGAAATCAGAAAATTCGTAGTTATTATTATTATTTTTTAAAAGTCAATTATTTTTGTTTGGATTATAATTGGGTTATTGGGTTTTGGATCGATTGGTTGATCGATAGATGTGGAGTTGAATATGTCGAAAGTGAAACATTTACTGCGGAAACTGCATATCGGGGATCATCAACACCAAGATAGACCGCCCGTACTCGATCCGTCCCCTCAAACGACGCCGTCTCATTCTTCGTTGCCATCTTCACCTTCATCTGACCCGCACCCCATTTTGGCTCAACCTGCTCCGGATTCACTGGAAAATGAGAATTCTGTTTCTAATTCTAATTCTAATTCTAATTCTGATAGTAATTTTAATTTCTTCGAGGAGGAGTTTCAAGTTCAATTGGCACTTGCTATTAGTGTGTCGGATCCAGGTCAAAATCATGACCCGGAAACCGCACAGATCAACGTCGCCAAGCAAATTAGTCTTGGGTGTTCACCGACTCAATCCCTTGCTGAATTTCTCTCGCTTCGTTACTGGGTAATTATTGTTATTGTACTGTTCTTAATTATTTGTTTGTTTGGTGGAAATTTTGGTTCTAATTATTGATTAGATGTTATTGCGAGTCGGTCAATTTTTCAATGACACGCATTTCATTTAATTTGACCAGTACAATTATCCCTATTTGTCTGTGCATGGTAGGGTTCTGAATTTATATCGGATGACTGGGTCTGAATTATTAGGGTAAGTTGGGGAAAACTATTAGGATAGAAATCTTACTGTTCAGATGACATTTTACTTGAGTCTTATTTTCTTTGCCATTATAAATGCATGTTAAATTTGACTATTTATTTGATTTTGTTGCATTTGTTGGTTAATTGCATCTCAGTGACATGCATTTCATTTAATGCGACCATTACTATTACCCCCTTTCCTTCGTGCAAGAAAATTGCTGAATTCGTATTTAGTGCCTTGTTCTGATTTCTGGATAATGTAAGGGTTTAGGATGTATGGATAATGTTTTACCTGAAATCTTCTTTTTTCTACAATTTTTTTATGCATGCTTGATATGAACAAGTAGATCTACATTTGACTACCATTCTGTACCCTTTCTGTTTAAAAAATTAAAAATTAAAAAATAAATAAATACACACACACACAAAATAATAATAATAATAATAATAATAATAATAATAATAAAAATAAAATTTACGCAATCAGCATTATGTTTGCACTTTGCAGCATTTGATCACTGGATACTTCTATGCCGAATTTAACATATAGGTGGACTGGTGGAGTGAGATAGACCCCCCGAGTATAAAATGCTTTTACACACTGATTGTGACGCGTTAAATTTCTTCTTAACCGATCTATTTGTTACAGTCGAGCAGTAAATGACTGCTTTCTTCATCCTAGAAGTCCTTATAAAATTCTTTCAGGTGCATATAGTTTTTTTTAACTAAAATAAGCGTGCATACAATGTTGATAAACATAGCGAATGGGCCTGATAAATCTGCATTTGTATTGTGAACATGTTATACATTAGACTTGTTTACTAGCATCTAGATAAATATTTTTCCTGGAGAAAATTTTTTTAAAAATGTAGTAGTTATAAATATTTACATCTTTTTGAACTTAAAATGGGAATAAGACCACTCAACATTAACAATAATTCAACCAAAAATTTCTTAAATAAAGTCACATCAATAACCTCAATTACATGGAATGTCTTAAAAAGGAATATGCATGGGACTTGATTCCAAAATCAGCTATACCTTCAGAAAATTAATTTTATACAAGTTTTCTCTCTAGATATAAGTAAAATATTGGGTAATTTGTGGTTACCTTTCTCGACCTTTACCCCCTTTTGCCCTTCTAACCCCAACCATTGTTTCCTGGTGTTCCTATCTCCAACCTTTCATAAACTAGCGATTGTCGTCCTCGCGGATGGTTTCCATCCAAAAACACCGTTAAACTGTTGTAAATTGAAAAATATGCCACGAACATATACAAATAAGTATAAATATCAAAATAAACAAAATTCAGCCTTCTTCTTCCTCAAAATTCCACAGACCATCCCCTGCCCAACCCTGCCCTCAGGCACCCCCAACCCCATCAGCTTTTCCCCTAATCCCACCACCATTGCCCAAACCCCAATTTACTTGTCCTAAATTCCATAACCTCAGCATGATTTCATTAAACTAAAGCATAGTCCAAATAACTTTAAAATCATTGAACCAAAAATGAAATAATCATACACCAAATCTAAAATGAAACAAAGAACAAATAAATGAAGAAATCGAAAAAAGAAGGTAGGGTCCGTTTGATTGTAAAGATGGAATTTGGGTGGAAAGAAAATGAATTTCATGGAATTGAATTGCCTAAAAATTGTTTTCCTGAAAATTGTAAATTATTATATTTGGTATAATTTTTCACGTTGAAAATGTTGAAATTAAATTGATGAAATTTACTGGTATTGGGGATAAAATTCGTTTCCATTGCCCAAAAAAATAAAAATAATTCATCTATCTTTTCGTTTGGTTTTGTTTTACATGAAAATTTTAAATTAAAGGGATATTAAAAAAAAAAAAAAAAAAAAAAAAAAAAAAAAAAAAAAGATTCAAGAAAATCATTTATCTTTTGATGTTTGTTTGACTTTATTTTACATGGAAATTGCTAATTAAAGGGAAATATTTTTTTACAATAATTTTTAGAATTTGTTTCCATTGCCAACAAAAAAAAATAATAAACGAAAAAAATGCTGCGGTAAACTGGAAAATGAGAATTCATTTTCCTCCAAAACATGGAAAATATCCATGTGGCATGAAAATGTGGAAAATGAATTCCAATGAAATTTTGCCAATCAAACACCCAAAAAATGGAAAGTTGGAATTCCAATTCCATTTTCTATGGAATTTCTTTCCTATCAAACACACCCTTAGTTTTCTGGGCTTCTGTTTGTCACTTAATGTGAAAATGGAGGATTGTCTTAGTTGAAGATCTGTATATAGGAGTTACTTCTCTTCAACAAAATATAAAATGTGTTTCTCTAAATTCCAATGCAAAAACCAAGCAGAAATTAGATTAAGATTTTTGAGTTCGTAAAATTCAATGTAGCCCCATTTGTCACTACTGTGCTGGGATCTGATTCATGCTCTGTTTTTCTGACAATGGCCGCTAACCTCTTTGGTTATAGTTGTATGGAGCTTTGCAATATTGGTGTTAACATTGACTTGTGGTGGGGGTGGATGGAAGCTAAGGAAGACAAAGTTTTCTTTCTTTTTTCCTTTTTTCAGTTTTTTCCCCCTTTAATTTGCATTTATATTGCCTTTCTTATCTTATATGAGTTATAGGGCATCGTTGCCATTTTAGAATAGTTTAACAGAGCTCTTAGACAGAAGGATGACGGCCACTAATTTATTAATAAAAATCGACAATTGAAATTCCAGGAAACATGGTTGGGGATAGGACATCCAAAGGGTGTAGAGGTTGCACATGTGGCAGCCACAAATTTCCCTAAAATATTCCACAAAGATCCTTTTTCTTTAATAAGTGGTTAATATGAACTCAATCTCCTGAACAGCAAAATCTAATAGAAACAGATGATTCTCACAAAGTATATTTAGAGAGTGTCCCTGCAATAGCTTATTAAAGAGTTCAATGGAAATTTAGCATAATTTGATCTGAAGCTTTTCTTCTGATGTCCGGTTTCTCTGTAAAAATGGGAGCTAAACTCACTGCAATTATCTGACTAGTGATTAGACAACTGCTTCTATTTCATTTATTTTACCTCATTTATCAAATTTCTATCATTAACGAAGTTCCCTTTAAGGACGTAGTTTGCGATTGGCACGGAAGGTAAATAATCTTGGGTGTAGATGCTGATTTTAGATGTATGAGTTATGTCTGCATGTGTAGAAAAAGACTTCACCGACCAACATGTCGAGTGTCCAAACATCAAGTAAGATTTGTTTGTTCCAAACATCCAACTGAACTCTGGTCGCAAGTGGAATAGCACAAGAAGTATTTTTTTCGTCTTGACAACATAGTTTCTTCTTTTTATTTATTGCATTTATATTGATTATCTTGTCTAATCAATATGTAGACTGGTAACTTAACTGTGTTTCATGTTTTATCTATATAATGGAAGCTTATAATAGATAATCTCATTTTTACTTTAGTTTGTATTAATTGCTTTATTGCACCCTCTTCTCTTGACCATCTCTCACTATAAAATAAAGGGGAAAAAAAAAGGAAAGGGCTGCATATTAAGCCCTTGTTTGTCATCCATTATTTTACATTTCACCACATTATTTTTTCTACAGTACACATTTTCAACCACACATTTTTTATTAAAATAATATTACACGCAAACCAAAATTTTTTCCTTCTTTTTAACCACACATTCTCCATCAATCTACTATTTTATAATACATTTTTATAATTAAAGGAGTTCAAACACACCCTAAGTGTTTGTCATTTGTTATTTGTGATTTACTCGTTATGTTGTTAGCTCAATGACTTAAAGAAGGTTCTTTTGTTTTTCCTTTGTGCATGCAGAGCTACAATGCCATAAATTATGATGAGAAAGTAATTGACGGGTTCTATGATATTTGTGGATTTGATTCGAATTTGTTGTCCCAAGCAAAAATGCCATCGCTGGTAGATCTTCAATTAATTTCAGTTTTGGATCACGTTGGTTCTGAGGTTGTTTTAGTGAACCGCACACTTGACACAGAACTGCGGGAATTTGAGGAAAAAGTTTACTGCATGTCCGTGGAGTGCCTTGCTTTGGAAAGGGGTACAAGTTTTTTAGTTCAAAAAATTGCTGACCTTATTGTTAACAGAATGGGAGGTCCTGTTAATGATGCTGAAGAAATGTTTAAAAGGTGGAAAGCAAGGAGTTATGACTTGCAAATCTTTCTGAATGCTATCATCCTTCCCCTTGGGTGTCTTGATGTTGGAGATTCACGCCAGAGAGCTTTGCTCTTTAAGGTTCTGAATGCTTCCCTCTTTCCTTACACTCATCTGTTTGAACTAATGTGGATAAGGTATTCACATGAGTTTAATGACAGTTAGGCTATGTTTTAGCCCTATTTTTCAGGAAATAGATTTTGTAATGGTGATTTTATTTGGAGAATGTGTGGTTAAAAAGTCGAAGAAGTTTTGGGTTTACGTGTAAAATTATTTTATTGGAAGAATATGAGGTTGAAAAATTCGTTTAGAGAAAAATGTGTTTCAGAAATGGGGTTCAAACAGGGGCTTAATCATCTGATTATTCTAGCTTGACTTTGACTTGCATTTTGTGGTTAAAATATTCAATCTAGAGAACTAAAATTTAGTATCTTTAATGGGTTAGTTAGTGCCTTCTTAGCAATATGTTTTATATGATTAAACTAGTACCTTATTTATTATGCAACAAATAGGAGAATTGTAGCCAGTCCCTGTCCTTTGGGTCAATTGCACTTGGTTCCTATTGTAGTTTCTTGGCCAACAAGTCCTCGATATTGTATTTTTGTGGTGAGGGACACTTCTGACTTTTTCCATCCAAAACATATATTAAATATCTTGAGTAGACAATTATGCTTCATGTTTTTTTTTTTTTTTTAAAAAACGAGGAAAACAACTCTCACACCCCCACCACCCATCCCCTGTCATCCAGTCCTCCTCCATTCATCCCCAGGTTGAGATAAAGAGGCTCCTGGTTCAGGAATACTCTGATCTGGATTTCAAGTGGGAAGCTGCATGAGGCTAGTTGAGGAGTTAGAGCAGCCAACGTTGTAGAAATTTAGAGCTAGTTTCTGAATCTATGAGGCAGAGAATGGACTTCTGACTTGTGCTTGATCTGACATCCGAAAGTTAGGAGAAAGTAGGTTGAATCTGGTAATAAAATCCTAGAAGTATCAATTGTGGAAAATGCAGACTTAGCCCCCCATTTGAGCCCCATTATTTCTCATTACATTCAATTAAAATTTTCTCTCTCCTACTTTTAACCACACAATCTTCAATAAAATAATATTACACGCAAATGAAAAAAATTTCAACCACTCATTTTAAAAAAAAAACACTATCCATCTCATTATAATGCCAAATAATGGGGTTCAAGCACACCCAAAATCTTGCTCTTTGCAGTTCAAAGATAATTTCACCATCCACTGATAAAAATACCATTCTCCATTAGGTTAAATAAATAAAGAAACACAAAGATGAGTGTCCTAGTTCAGATGTACTGATTAAGAGGGTTGAATGTGGACACTGGACTGGGTTAGAAATCTCTAAAAGATCTACCGATCCTCTCCAAGAAGGGAATAAAAGGAATATCTTTAAATCTTAACTCAGATGTCCAGAAATTACTTTTCAAGACTTGAAGTGAAAACTTGAAACTACTGAGAAGTTCAAAAGAGTGGAAGTGCCAGAAGGAGAATTTTGGGTTTAGAGAGAGAGAGAGGATATGTGTGTTAAAGAGTGGAAGTTTCCTTGCTTTCTTTAAATCTTATTTTTCTTTGTAATTTGTTTATGAATAAAAAGTCAGATGCTGCAAGACTACATTTTTTGGGACCCATTTAACAAGAAAATTAGGGGACCCAGTGGGAATCGTACCAAAGAATAGGGTCGTACACCTTACGTTTAAACTTGTCATTTAGACTTTCTTTTCTGGATGACCCGTACAAGTGAGAGTTCTGATCTTATCCAGAAATCAACTTCCAATTATCTAATGATCTTGATGTTGGGTGATACTTGATAGGTACTTGCTGATAGGATCAACCTTCCATGTAAGCTCGTCAAAGGTAGTTATTATACTGGCACTGATGAAGGAGCTGTGAACTTGATCAGATTGGACAATGGAAGGTAGCATTTGTACACTTGGTTGTATATTATTTTTGTGAATATGCATGTCATCGATCTCTTTGTAGACATAGTTTTTTGCATTTTTAGTTCACTGCAATCACTTTATTAGGTAAATAATTTCTTATCTTGCTTTACAATGTTCTTTGGAGGGTGTTTGGAGGGGGTAGGAGTTGTGTTGGATGGCACATATGATGCTAATGTTTAAAAATATCAGTCAAACGCCAGTATTATTAATCTTCTACTGGAAACTTGATTGCTCATCACCTCAAAGGGATTTAGTTTTGTTACACTGTATGCTTTGTTTACTGTTGCAAACATGTTAGATGTTACTATTTCAAACTCTGAAATTAGAACATTGAATTATGATCTGGGATTGATTCTTCCCCACCTCCACCAAAAACAAAAATCTAAAAAGTAAAATGTTAGCTCAAAAGCAGGTGCCCCTCAAAGACCCTCCTTTTTCTCTCTTGAAAATACCTGCATCAAATAAGAGGAACAATGCACCATTTGCCCTTTTAATTCCTTCCCTTCTGTGTAAGCAGTTTAATAAATCTTCAACAGTAGTAGGCATAACTCACTTCACAAACATGGTCATAACACTGATTCAAAATTACCTCGTAACATTTCCTGTGCAAAAGCAAATTGTAGTGTTTTTACCACAGCCTTATACCTAATGATCCTGCTAATAAAACAACTTTTTGTCGTCAAATGTTTGGGAGAGAGAATGATATCCTGATTCCAAGGTGCTGCCTAAGGAAAAGGTAACCTTTTTTGGTGCCTTGACTTTCTCATAGCTATTAAGGGAACTGAGGACCAGAGCATGACTTCACAATGAAATTCCCATAGCTAGCCCAATCCAACAAGTTGACCCAATTATATTTGCAACTATATTCATCTTATTAGTTTCTGCTGATAATCTATTATTGTTAAGTCGAGTATCATTGATGACAGAGACAGATAGCCCAGCCCAGCCCCCCCCCCCCCCCAACTCAGGCCCAATATTTTTTTTTAAGGTATTTTTTATTTTTTTTGGTAAAAAACCAGTTTTTTTGTGTAAAACTTTTTTTTTCCGCGTAGTAGCTTGGTTTGAAATTTTGTAGCCCGATCTTGGATCCAATCCTGGATCCGTCCCTGATTGATGATGAAAAAGTATCCCGTATTTGTCTTAAAATGTTGCCAATGAAATCAGTTAGGTGTTAGAAATTCGGGAAAGAAAAACACTTGATGATTTAAACCGATTTTTGAATTGATGCAGTGAATACATTGTTGATCTTATGGGTGCTCCAGGCACTCTAATCCCTGCTGAGGTGCCCAGTAGTCATCAGAATTTTAGTTTAGATGCAAGGAGTATTACACATGTTGTAGGGACCACCAAAAGTTCATGTATAACATTTGACGAAGGAGCTGGGCGTTCACTTATGCCTAATAATGATGAAACTTTCAAAATAAAAAGTTCAAGTTCAGAATCATCTTCCATTTTCCCCAAGTCAAAGAGAAATGGCAGAGCTATCGCACTATCATTATGCGGAGTTTGTGAAGAGTCAGCAGGTGCTGGACCGAAAGCATCAGCAAGACAGAAGTTGCAAGTTGAAGATGTTTCCAAATGTGTAATCGATGCCGCGAGAGATCCAGAATTTGCTGGAAAACTTCATGCTGTTTTGTCAGAGAATTATGGGACATCAAACCCAGATGTGCTTTTGAGCATGAATTCCCACGATAATGGAGAGGACAAATTGTTTACTAAAAATGAATCAGTGAGAGGTGAAAGGGTGATTGATACTTGGCGTCATCCAGAGATGTTCTTGTCCAAAAAAGAGAACGCTCCGCAGCAGATATTTAGCAAGGTTTTATGTGACAGCAGCAAAATCCATACCGCTGAAGGGTTGGCAGCACAGCAGCTTAAACCGGATCCGGCTGTCTCTAATCCTGGATATAATGTATCTTCTAATACTCCAGCAGAAGGATTTACGCTTTTCAAAGGTAGAACTGATGAAGTAATCCATGATGATGATATTGCCGTGGGTGCTGGCTGTGCCAATTTGTCTGGCAAGATAGACAAGTCTTCTGTGGAAGTGACTGCAGTAGCCTACAGTAACCAGTCTAGTACTAGCAAGAATCAGAAAATGAAAAATGACCCTGTCCTGAGTGGTGTTGCTGAAATTTTGTGGGAAGATCTTCAGATTGGTGAACGCATTGGCATAGGTAAGAGTTCATTGGTTTTATTTTCTTGTGTTGAAGTTCTATATCTATTGTTGAGATTAAGAACATGTTTGGAAAGTGTTTATAAATAGATATAAATGAGTGATGGATAGGTGGATATTACTTGTAGGTCTCTCGAAATGTGTAGATAAAAAGTGGCTGGGTGTTTATAAATATGAGCTAAACATAGGCTAAAGGGAATCTATGCACCGTTTCTCCATTGCTGCTCTTTTGTCAGGTTTGAGGTGGGCTGCGGGGAGGGGAGGTGGATAATACAGCTACCTGTATTTTCCTGATTTCTTCTGAAATAATTAAGTGATAATAAATTGTAATGTTTCCACAGTTTCACACATGTGCTTGGATCCTTGAATTTATCCTAGTCATTTGATCCTACTTCATAGTTCGTCATGAATTATGGTTCTTTCCACGAAGTTGGTAAATGTTTAATAATTATTTTGTTTCCTAGTCAAAAAGACGAATGTCATTGTGATTTTTAAATTTCAACAGAAAGTCCTCCTTTTAGTTGCATTCATTCAATCCCCTCGATTCCCATTGTCTCAACAAATAGAGTAGAAGAGAACACCTTACTTTGCCCATTTTTCATTTTAGTTCATCATTATCTTAGCTGAGCTGTCTGTGTTAACCTCTTACATGCTGCCTTTTTTACCTTGCACCTTATTGAACGGGTTGCTTTTGGGAGTATGAGATTTTCTCGAGTTTGAAATAGTCTTCCTGTTTTAACATATCTGTTTCCTTTCATATCTTGCAGGTTCATATGGTGAAGTTTATCGGGCAGAATGGAATGGCACAGTAAGTTATGTTTTTGTGCATTTGTCTAATCTGTTTATAATTTTATTGAAGTGTAACTTTTCCAGTTTTTCTATGAAAAGATGCATTTTGGTGCAGAAGCATGGGATTCTTGAAACAAGAATAAAGTTAAAAAGCTAGAAACTATATAGGGAATAATTTTACTGTATTGAATTTGATTATTGAAAAAATGTACGAAGCCTTTATATATATAAGCAAAATTATTCCCTAATTTTACTAATATGAGGAAACTAATACAAGGAAACTAAAATAAAATTGTAATCAAAAGAAATTAGAATAGCTTGAAACAAGAATAAAGTTAAAAAGCTAGAAACTATGTAGGGAATAATTTTACTGTATTGAATTTGATTATTGAAAAAATGTACAAAGCCTTTATATATATATAAGCAAAATTATTCCCTAATTTTACTAATATGAGGAAACTAATACAAGGAAACTAAAATAAAATTGTAATCAAAAGAAATTAGAAATTCTATTCTAATCAATAAAGAAAAAAATCATATTCTAAACAAGAAATAAGAATAAAAAGATAAACATATTACAACTAGAAATCTTATTATGAATATCTAGTTGTTGTCCTATTTACAATAGGATTATCCTACATTATTCTCTCCCACTTGAAAACAAACTCGTCCTCGAGTTTGATTGAAGAAAAGAAAGTCAATCAATCGGGAAGAAAATACTCAAAAAGTCTGTCAATACTGATATTGAAGAAATGTCCATTTCTTGATGTGCTCAATAAATGTCATTTTATTCTTCAGTTGCATTGTTTGAAGTCAAGTTTGTTCCTATAGCATTGTTTGATTTATCATCCTTGAGTCCTCAGAGGCCACAGGTGTTATTTTTAATTCTTCACACTTCTCATCTTCTGCCATAATGACTAATGATCCTTTCTTCTATACAAATGAATGAACTAGTACGGGGACTCAAACCTTAACTGTCCATTTTTTCTATTCTTATGCAATTCATTTGCATTGAAATAGTAGAAAAGGTCAAAACAAAATTTTTATTATCAATTTGATAAGTCTCACCTTTGATTCCTTTGTGATTAGAAAGTTTAATTCCCTCTCTTGTTTGACACTTATGAACTTCAACTTGTTCAACATCGGAGTGCAGCTCGATCTTGGGATCTTCAATTGTAATTTTCATATATAAGGGATCAGCAGGTCTCAAAATTTCAAATTGCACAAGCTTTTTTCCTATCTATTGTAGTATCATGGACAGTAACATTCTGATTATCTTGAATTATTTTTTTAACCTCATCATCTGCCTTATAAATCTTTTTCTCTTTGTCATGCACTAGTATTCACAAATTGCTCATCACATGACACCAAAACAATCTTCTTTGCATACCACCAAAACACATACCTGTTATCTTGGCCTATGTAAGTGGCATCTATATTACAATACCATGATTGTCCCCTAAGGTACATGACAATTGTTCATCTCTACAACGTTAAATATAATTTCATCTTTGTTGTATTTTTCCATAGAAAGTGAAATTTTAAATACCTCAATGTTTTGAATTTCTTATGCCGTGTTAACTTGTGAAGCTTGATAACAAGATGAATATTTTTTCATCTTCAAATTTAAAGCTTTCACCAATGCTTTGGGTACCAAGTTCTCACTACTCTTATGATTTATTATCACACTACATACTTTGTTATTGATACATCGTGTTCTAAAAATTTTATTGCACTTTAAACATATCTTCTTGATAGTCCTTCGCAAAATTCTCAATAACTTGTTCAAACTTAGTTGGGACTCGAGGAAACTCTCTGGCCACCTGCTATTGTGTTCTAGGCCTGTTGAAGTAACCACTATTCATAGCAGTTAAAGTCTATAAATTCTTGTCAGCTGCACCTTCAAAGATATCCGTCATTCGTTCTAAATTCTGGACCAATGTTGGTTTTGCAATCCTCCGATCATCGTCATGAGGATGCATACCACTACCACCATAAATGGCTATCAGCCAAGTACAAATTTTACTCTGATACCAATTTGTGGAAGTGGTATTGAAATTTTTGAAACAAGAATAAAGTTAAAAGGCTAGAAATTATGTACTGGATAATTTTATTTTATTGAATTTGATTATTGAAAAATTGTACAAAGTTTTTATATATATAAGCAAAATTATTCCCTAATCTTACTAATGTAAGGAAAATAAAATAAAATTCTAATCTAAAAGAAATTAGAAATCTTATTCTAATCAACAAAGAAAAGAAATCTTATTCTAATCAAGAAATAAGAACAAAAAGATAGAACATATCACAACTAGACTTCTTATTATAAATATCTAATTTTTATTCTATTTACAATAGGATTGTCCTACACATTTGTTAGTGATTTGTAGGTGATATAGGTCTAGTTGCATTTCCAAATTTTAATATAGGCCTTCTTATACCTTTCAAATGTTATAAATTGATATTCAACGAGCTTCCTTGATTGATACTCTTGATGCATGTCGCAAATTAATTTGAAGATTATGGGCCAGTAAATTTAAAAACTAATGCAGTTCTGTAAACAGTCTATATGAGTATCTATGCGAGTTCCTATTTAATTAATTCATATTGAGCTCCTTTGATAATATTGGTTTCAAGTAACTGGAATTTTTTACTATTTCAAAATGAAAATGGTTTTTGAGAGATGGGAGGGCAGGAGACTTGGCAGTTTAGTTGCAGTAGAACCTTACATCTCTTTTCTTGTATATTATCATTAAATATGATATTATTATATATCAGGAAGTTGCTGTAAAGAAATTCATGAATCAAGATATCTCTGGTGTTGCACTCGCACAATTTAGATGCGAGGTACGTGCCAATTTTGATCGACATGCATTATATTATCCACAAAATTTTAGGAACGAGTTAGTATTTCTGTGATGATTTAACTCTTTGCTCCATGCTGCTTTATGCAGGTTGAGATCATGCTGAGATTGAGGCATCCAAATGTTGTTCTTTTCATGGGAGCTGTAACTCGGCCTCCAAATCTGTCCATATTGACAGAGTTTCTCCCAAGGTTTATATCTCAATAAATTAAAAATTACTCTTAGTTTGGATTTCACAGATATGCCAGTATTCATGTATTCTAAATTTCATAATATCACCACCACTTTAGATCCCTCTTATTTTGAGTGCCTAAGAAGTCTTCAAGCCCTTCAGTTCTTCTTATTAACTTTTAAACAGAGAATTTGTCATTAAATGATGTAATGGTTCTGTTCATTCCCCTTCTTCTCTAGCTGTTTCTTATCTGCTTCTTCTCTATATGCAGGGGTAGTTTATTTAAACTGCTGCACCGACTAAATATCCAAATTGAAGAAAAGAGGCGAATAAAAATGGCACTCGACGTGGTATTGATTGGACAATTTTTTTTCCCTTTGCTTCTGTTATCACTGTCTTCACATCTGTTGATATGCCAATTTTTTGCAGGCCAGAGGAATGAATTACTTGCACACTAGTCACCCTATCATAGTGCATCGTGATTTGAAGACTCCCAATCTCCTAGTTGACAAAAACTGGGTGGTTAAGGTTTAATTGATAGAATTTGGTATTGAAATACTCAAAATTTTGATAACGTGTTTCCCATATCTCTTACTGACTTATGTGCTGTTTTGAAATACTGTAAATTTCTAGGTCTGTGATTTTGGGATGTCACGTTTGCAGCACAGCACATTTCTGTCTTCCAAGTCAGCTGCTGGAACAGTAATGCCTTTTCGATTTGGATTTTAGATTTTATTTTTTCCATTTTTCCATGTCTTTATACCCACCCCCCACCCCAAAGAAAAAAATGAATAAATAAATAATGACAACAGTGAATTATCTACTGATTATATTTTGCAGGCGGAATGGATGGCACCAGAGGTTCTAAGGAATGAACAATCCAATGAGAAGTGAGTCGATCCTCTGTGTTATGTAATATCTTTGAAGAATGTGAATTCTCTTGAATATTTCATTTCAAATCTTGCTGATGAGGTTAGCGTCTCTGGTTTGCAGATCTGATGTATATAGTTTTGGAGTAATATTGTGGGAATTGGCAACTCTTCGTGTACCATGGATGGAAATGAACTCCATGCAGGTTGTTGGAGCTGTTGGATTTCAGGGTAGGCACCTTGAGATTCTGCCCACTATTGATCCAATGGTCGCGGAGATAATTAGTGACTGTTGGAACCGGTGAGTTCCTAAACTTAAAGGCTAAGAGTTGTCTCGCAAAGCTTTTATTAGATTACAAGATATTGGTCTTACGACATGTGTGGATAATAAGTGGGCAAAAGTTGCGGGTCTTACATAATGTATGGATGAAAATAGAGTTTGACCTGCTTATAGGCAATTATAATCTTTGCCAAACATGTCCTGATTCTAGACTGTAATGCCTCGTGGTCTTGTAAATGTCTGGTTCAGATGGATATTTAGACATTGACTGTTTAGGATGAATGATATATTTGTTGCAAAATGTTAGCCTCCGTAGGAAAAGAATTTATAAACATTTTAATTTATAAATAGAAAGAATAAATGGTGGATAGTACTTATGGGTCCATTTGAATATATGGTTGAAAATAGGGGTGGGCGTGGGTCGGTTCTGTTCGGTTCTAAAGAGAATCGAATCGAACCAAAATTTTCGGGTATCTAGTAAATGAAACCGTCGGGTCCAAATATAATTATGGAACCGTTCGGGTTCAGTTCGGTTCGGTTCTGTACTATAATTAAATTTTTTAACATTTATAACAATATTATATAAATACAACTAATGATACATTCAATGATTTTGGAATGTTAGATATTAGTAAGCTACCTTGTTCAAATGATCGCTACGGTCAAAGTTTCGGTCGGCGGAGGTCACAGCTTCGATCAAAGGTCACAGTGTCGGCTAGGGTTGGGTAAATCTCCCGAACCGAACTCGACGGTTCTTGTCAAATTAAATACCCGAACGGGTATCTGAATTGAGAACCGACGGGTATGGTTCGGTTCTCGGTTCTAGACCAAGAACCGAAGAACCGAATAAGAACCGAATCTTTCTAATTTTTTTTATATTGAGTAAATTAAATTATTTTAATTTTAATTTTTCTAAACAAATTAACAAATTAATAATTTCTAAATCCAAATTTTTTGTCCAATAATTTGTTTCATTTCTAATTTTTTAATTTTGGTCCAATTACCCTTTTTATTGTTTCATTTCTTAGCCCAATAAGATCCAATCCACTAAATAACCTTAAACACCTACATTAAAGTGCATAACATTGTCTCGACTCTCGTACTCACTCTCGCAACCTCGCTAATATTCCAAAACCTATACAATCGTCGACCGACACTGTGACCTCCGATCG